GGTCCTTGAGGGGATCGGTTGGATAATAGCAAACTTAGAGAACTTGTCGATGCAAGTTAGAAAGTATTTCCTGTCAGTGGAGAAAATGTCTATGTGTAATATCTCTCCTACATAAGAGGGGATCGATGTCTCTCCAAGCTCTTGTTTTTTGGGGTGTCTATCATATTTAGCCCTAGCACATTTTTTGCAATTTTTTACTATTTCATTGGCCATTCTTGCCATCTTTGGAAAGTAGTACTCCGAGAGTACCTGCTTAATATTTTCCTGTGCAGACCTATGGGCCCTATTATGCTCGGCTGTGGGGATTTCCCTTTCTATCTCCCACCGCAATTACATCCACTACGCGATTTTTGCAATGCCAGAACTTTGTGGCCGGGTATCTACGAACCAATAAATCTTGTATCATTGCAAGCGTGTGTAAATTACATTTACGCATTTGGGTGAAATTACATATTCGAGCTCGTCTAGCAGCGATTCGATGGAAGTATAGCTGATCAAGTAGTGTTTCTTATTTCCACAAAGAATAAAAAAGTTTTAAGGGTAAGATAGTTTTAAGGGTAAATGCGCCTCTTCTAGCACTATTTGGTTTTGAAAACAATTCAAGGGTTTGTCTGTTGTCTCAATGGTGTTGGTGAGAGATACCTCACTGTGGATCGTTGCTGCGCAGGACTCAATTTCTTGTTCATTCACAGCGTTGAGCTGCTGTCTTGACAAGGCATCCGCAACCAGATTGTCCTTACCGGGTTTATAGAAGATACGTGCATTAGACTCGTCAATGAGCGCTTTCCACCTTTTGATCTTCGCATTTGGATTGGATTCCGAAACTGCGAAGGTCAAGGGTTGATTGTCAGTGAAGATATTAATGTCTTTCATCCCATACAAATAATGCCTTAACTTGGCAAGTGACCATACGATGGCCAATAACTCTCTCTTATTTGTCGCATAGTTCACCTCGCTGTCCTTCAATAGTCTTGAAATCATTGTWATAGGACGACCCTCTTGAGACAAGAGTGCACCTATGCCGTAAGCCGAAGCATCGGTCGTTAGATCGAATGGCTTCTTAAAATCGGGGTACCTGAGCATTACATCCTACATCCACGACAAAATGTCGCGCA